GCTTCTGCCTTATGTTTGCCTTCAGCAAAGAAAAATATTGTAAGGGAGGAAATCATCCAAATAAAGTGAGAAAGTTAATAAAAAAAATGTTTCAGTTGTAAACATTTGAAAGGACTCTCGCAAGATATAAAGATACTGGGAATTTCCAGAAGAAATTCAACTTTCTGAAAAGAAGGTAAAGGACTGTGGACTCAGACAACTGAGTAGGAGTTATGAGCTTTCAGCAACCTGCCTTAAGTGTTTTGTAAAAATGAGCACAGGGACACAAACTGAAAGCTATTGCAGTCATAGGGAGGTTTTCTATCAACTTCAGCATTCTTTGGAGCCACTCGAGTGAAGGTTTAGTGAAAATAATAACACATTGATTTTTGTCTTTCAGGTTTTCTTTTGCTACTGATATTGCACAAGGAATGGCCTATCTTCACCACCACAAAATGTATCATGGGCGGTTGAAGTCTACTAACTGTGTGATAGATGACCGATGGGTTTGTAAAATTGCAGGTAAAGGAAAAATAAGAAAATTTCAAAACTGTCAAGGTAACCCAGGAATGCATACAGATTTTGGGTTCAACACTCCTCCCAAGCACCTCTATGTTGACATGTCATGTTGAAATGCTCACTGGATTCAGCCTTCACTAGAAGTGCCCTGTGCTGAAGCAGATTTCAGGTTATTTATCATATCAAGTCATTTAACATGCGTCAGTGATGCACACATCAGATCTCACAAAGAATGGAGTCTATCAATGTCAGTCTGAGCAGAAACCCTGTCTCATTCTCAGTTTTGATACAGAGAGAAAAGCTGAGCCATGGACAGTGATGTAGACATAGATCGATGCTGACTAAACAGGAGGTAGTTTCATGGAGAAAAGTAGACTCAGTTAAGAGCTTTTCAGTCCTGTGCATGAAAATGAATTTTATTCTCCCAGAAACAGAGCTACAATTCTGGTCTGCTCCTGGAAGACAGCCTGTGAGGACACACTGGAGAATCTAGTTTAGCTTGCAGCTGCCAAAGGCAAAGAAAACAATGATCTTTTTTTTCTATTTCCTCCTCAAAGTAGTTACTACACTCTATAACCCACAACCATCTTAAAACCAGCAGCAACAGATTTGTCTTTCAATGGTTCATCGTATGAATAAGCTCCCACACAGGGCCTTGCCTGCTTCTCCAATGTGTTAAGCATCCTGCTGCCTTCAGAACTGCCTGCTTAGCTTAGAACCTGTTCTGGAGAAAAGCATAAAAATGAGATGGTTGGATTATATCAACCTTATCAATTTACCACAGCTTCTCTGAATTATAATGGGATCTCTGTGGAATTGTTCAAAGTTAACTGGTAGCACTGTAGGGAGTTCAAATATTCGTGGTTTACCTGGATGTGATGAGTGTGGGAGCTATTTGAAAAAATTCTATGACCTCTAACAAAAAGAATGAAGCTCTAGAACCATCTTAATTAGAGGTTGCTTCAGGCAAAACCAGACATCTGCATCCTGCTATCCTATACACTCAGCAGAGTGCTGTTTATACCAGAAAGAAAACTGAAGTTGGTTGGTTTTTTTCTCCTTTCCTGTGCTAAGTCACATATGCTGAGAATCTCTTCTATGTTAAGCTAAAAGTATAGCTGCAAAATTGTTTCACATTTATGCTGCCATACTTCTGAAGCTAGTGGTGTGCAAGTAAAGCCCACCATCTGATTTTCAGTAGTTCTACTCTCACTTGTAATTACTGTAGCTACCTGCCACCACAGATAAGGATCGGGGGATGAGTAGAACAGAAGCCTGTGTTCGCAGGGTAGCTTCTTGCACTGAAGTGAGCCTTTTCTCTGAAAAAATTTTTGCAAAATCATAAACCAATTCTGATTGGAAGGGGCCATTTAGTTCAACATCCCTGCTGTCATGTATTCTTACCCAAATATTTGGTTTCCAGATCCTATATTTGCAATTGGTTTAGAGGTACAAGGCAGACACAGACAATTTTTAAACTAAGACATGCATTTCAAATGGGGAAAACTAATTCTTTAGTCTAGTTGTTTTACTGTCTACTACCTTACATGTGTCACAGAGAAGTACCCACTGAATAACTGGCTTCCTCTTTTCTTCCATGTTAGATTATGGTTTGCAGTCTTACAGAAAGGAAGATTGTCCTGATGGGCCAGCCTCATACCAGCATCATTTACAGATACAGATTTACACAGCTCCTGAAATCCATTCCCTTTCAGGCTTTGAACCCAATTCAATGACAGATGTCTACAGGTAATTAACTTTTCCTGTTTCTCACACTATTAAAATGTCATCTCAGCTTGAGTATTCTTTAATCACAATTAGGCTCAGTGTAATTCTGTGGTCACCCCAGGTATATGTTTGGTTGTAAAAACAATTGATCCTGGAATACAGAACAGTTTCAATATCACAGACTCTTCTCTTTCAAGGTAGGTAACCAAATACTGAATTCACTGACATATAAATGCAGAGTTGGTCTATTGATTTATAAGGAGTTCCTCTAGAATGATAGATAAAAAAAGGTATAAATGTCTTCTATTATCTAGTAATCCTTTTTTATTGATGTTTCTTATGAAAAAGTAGGTCATTTTCAATACTGGCAATACTTTAAAGTCTTAAAAGTTAATTGCATCAGTTTTCCAGGGTGTTATAATACACATAAGAATCCCATAATTCTATAATTAATGTAGATACATCATTTTGCTGCATATACATAGTGTCAGAATTTGGTTTGCAGACAAGAAAAAGAGGTAGGAAAAGGAAATAGGTACAGTAGTGAATAGCTCCATCCTTTTCCTTTTGAAAGCCTTTATGGAAGATCACTTTGCAGTAGCTTATTTGGCTGTCAGATTTAGCCTTGCTAGTGAAGGATAGATTGTATCCAACCACTGCTTAGAAAAACAGGATTAAAATTGACTTTTCAGAGAATAATAATCCAACGAAAAAGTCATTACAGTATTTTGTTTTTAAAAATCAACTATGTTTCCTGGTTCTTGCATGAATCTTATGTATTAAATAGGAAAATCACTGTGTTCTTGGTGTATTCTATTTCATAGCAATGATACTTCCTCTGTCTGCTTATTTCCAGTAGTTTGCTGAGAGCATTTGAAAAGGGAAAATACAGAAATCTACAACAAGCTGATTTGTGGCCCGTTCCTTTCACATTTCTTTGCCACATTTCCAGCCCAGCAGTAGTCTTCTATTTCCTGATGACTTTGGTAGCTAGCACAATGTAAAGAACTGGAATTCAGTTCAGGTTAGATATCATTACTTGACTTTGCAGGCAGTTTGGCATCCTGAAACCATTTCTTGATGAGGACTCCCCTTAAAATAGTGCTAAGAGCTGATTTGCTCATATCATAGATGACTACAATGAAATTTTGACAGATTAAGTAAATGCTTGTTGCATCTGTCTTGCTGTCAGTCCCTGTCTACAAAAGCCAGGTGTTCTTTTGTTGTACTGCACTCAATACTTTCTTGGTAGAAAAGAAAAAAACAGTAAGGGATGAAATCAGAAAAGGCAGAAGAGCAATGTGCAGTCAGGGAAGAAAAACAAAGGTGTATTCTGTAGCATTAAAAGGGTTGCCCTTTGAACTGAGGTATTCTTCAGAACCTGCATTTTAACACAGTTTGTGTTTGATGATTAGCAGGTGCTAAGACTTCCTGATACATGCATGTGCTCCCTGGCCAGGGAGCAGTGTCCCAGTCTTGAAATCCTCACCTTTTATCTGTGTAAAAACTCCATTAATATTCCAGAAGATATGGCCCAAATAAAAAATGAGTAGAAACTGGAGGAGTGGGACTTGCAATTTTCTGTGCTTTTACAGATGAATCACTTGCTTTTAAAGTTCTCCAGGGAATGTGTTGGTCAGATGGGAAAGCTAAAATGGAAATGAGAACAGGAGCATGAAGGCAGCTCCTGTTTGAGCTGAAGAGGCCATTTCCAGTCACAGTTTCTCCTAGATTGGCTCATCTTTATTTGTAATTGTTAGTGAATTTCACTGTCCACTGTGTTAGGAGTTTTTTGAGCCATGCTGCTGGAGCTGAATTAAATCAATACAGCTTTATTGGAGTTACCATTATCTAATTACTCTCCCTGAAAATCTGTTTCAGCTTTGCTGTCTCACTGGGATTAGTATTCATTTATATTACCAAACCACCTGACAATCAACATTAAAATCTCATCAGATTATTTTCTACATTCAACATGGTTTATAGTAATTATTGTATTTGCCAGTGGTGTCCCACAAGTGAACTAAAAGACAGATAGATAGACATACCTCATTATACAGCTAGAATGCCCTACAGGATAGAGCTACCATTAGCAATACAACAAATTTTAAACCAATAATCCTCATAAAAATTTATGTTATAAAGTAGACATTCGTGTGAGAAGTTAATTATTACACAGTTTCAATACACAAAGGGGCAAGGACATCTTTATCGAGACTGCTGGATGTAGGAGATGCTGACTTCTTAGAGATCACTGTTCTAAAAGATCTCTGGTGAGTTCAATAAAGGCATTGAATACCCAGTGTTACCCTATTTTTTCCATTCTTCACGCTCAATGATTTTCCAGAACAGTGATCTGTGCTGAAGAGAAGCCATACCTCCAGTTGATGATCCTAATAAACCTGCTTCTGCCCCTTGATTACAGCACAAACCTGTCTTGTATGTTTAATTGGTAGTTGTCATTTGAACTCTTACACATATCCCATCTGGATTCTATTAATTCTTCCAGAGAAAATGGCTTTGCTGTCCATCAAACTCAAATACTTCCTCTCTGAGCCCGATAACTGTGAAAGAAGACTGCTTTGAAATGACCAGTTACAGATCTGTGAAAACAGAGTAGTAACAGACAGCAGCACTGTTGCTGTCCTCCCTTTTGGGATACAGGGCTTTCAGTCATAAAGTGGGGAAGAATAAGAAATCATGGAAAGAAGAAATCACCAACTCCATTAAATGTTATTTCATTAAGATTCTGGTTTGCTTTTATTCTGCAGTTATGCCATCATTTTACTAGAAATTGCCACAAGAAGTGACCCTATGCCAGTAAGTAAAGATGCACTTTGAAATCTGCATGACAACCTTGATTGTTTCTGTTGAAGTTATAAACCAAATTCTCAGTAGCTGTACCTTTGATTTTTTTTTTTAAAATATATTTTCCTCTTGATTTTGTTGGTGAAACTTTACTTCCAATGAAACATGCAATCAGGGCTTCCTCATGCATCTACTAGTCTTCCCTTCAGGACTTTGGTGAAGAATGTATGAAAAAAAATAATGTAGCTCCAAAATTGCCTTTTGGTTAGCTCTGTGAAGCTTAATGACAGAGGAGTGAAGGGGGAAGGTATGTCATGACATCATCCTTTTTCTCTTGTTGTTCCTTCCCTTTCCTGCCAAGCATAGGCCATTTTGGTGGAGTCTTGCAGTGGTAAGAATATGCTAGAAGAGCAAACGAGCTGCTCTGCACAAGGAAAACGTCTTCTCTGCACTTTTCTTGTCATCAGTGCTAAATGACAAACACAAAAATTGTATCTTGACAAATGTTCTGGGTATGTAGCCACGTTCTGTCTGAAATAATTTGCTTAATGAGAATTCTAACCATGAAGACCCCAAACTGCCATTCTTTCATTTTTGAGTTTCTGATAATAGACCAAAGTAGGCCTTGTGGTTTTTCAAAAGTTTCCAAATATCTTACCGGGTATTAATTTGTTTCAAACATTGTTTACCTCATGTAAACACTGAGATTAAAGCCTTTCAGCCATGAAAAAAGATTTAGAGAACACTGCACGATTTGGAGTATACTCTGTGTAAAAATGCACAGAGTGTACTCTGATACAAAAAAGCTGATCTGGAAGTGACAGGGAAGATGCCATAAAAGCAATATATTTTCAAAGGGTCATATGAAAAACACCACTTTTCTCAACATTATTTAATCTCTTTTTCTCTAGAAAGAGGATGTGCATTCAGGTGAACGTTCTTGGTGCCCACCTTTGGCAGAATTAATTTCAGAAAAGGCTGAGAATTCTTGTCCATGTCCCACAGATTACATAGAGGTAAGATACAATATTGTTTACAAAAATTCTTTATTCAAGTGAATTTAAGACATGCCATGATTTATGGCAGTATTGCTTTTGATGAATGTAAACAACCCAGAAGTCAAGAAGTACACCTCAAACAAGGCACAGTAAAACGTGCCTTAATAAAACACAAGTCATTCTGACAAATTGAAAGTTTGACTTGTTCCCTGTAATTGTCAGCGTAACAAATTGTGGTTTTAATATGGAATAATTGATTTTTGTGCATTTTCGTTTCATTAAAATGTTTTGAGTTCCATACAGATATTAGTAATATCCATCTAGCTTCCTGGTAAGGGACTTTCAAATAAAGAAGTATGTGTCTCAAGCGAAGTACGAGTTTGGTTTGATTCTTATGCAAAATGTGTTCAGTAGCCTCAAACTGCCTTTCATAAAATAAAGTACAACCCCTCCCAGTTCTCTTAAATCAGAAGGTTGTGACAGTTTTGTTTCAGCTTAAGAGCTATATAATTTGCATTTGGTAGTTTCTGGCTACCTAAATGTAACAAACTTCTCATAAGCGACGCTGTACCTTAGTCGAGAGTTAACATTCTTAAGAAGCAGTTGAGTATTTAATCTTTTGTGAACTCTCTGTACAGGCAAGTCCTGTGAAAACAGTGTGCGACTGACAGCATAACGCTGTCTTAAAACACGAGACAGGAGCTTAAGGAGCGTTTGGCAGAAGGAACGTGAGCATTAATAATTTCCTGCAGCAACAGCTTCATGAGCTAAAATCTTTCATTCAGCATAGATCTGTAGACCTCTAGAGACCTCAGTATAGCTCTGTTACTTTTCACCAGCTGCAGAGAGGGCTTCATATAGTAGTTGCTCTCTGAAAACAGTAGTATTAGAAACATTGCCTGTGTTTGGACTGACAAAAGGCTGTTTGCTTTTCTTACTTTCTTTTTCTTCTGCAGTTAATCAGAAGGTGCAGAAAAACTAATCCAGCCCAAAGGCCTACATTTGAACAAGTCAAGAAAATGTTGTACAAGATGAATCCTAATAAAGTTAGCCCTGTTGACATGATGATGACTCTGGTAAATTTTGGTTTTTTTAATACAATCCAAGTCAATCTGCTCACTTGCAATAACTTTCGCATTCATCCTTCAGGATTGTTTTTTTATCTCATATGCCTTGTTTGATGAGAAAGTCCACAGTCAGTCATTCACCTCTGGTGGGCTGATTGTAGCTGCAGTTCACCTTCAGACCTAGCTTGTCTTCTCATTCCATTTCTTTCAGTTTCTCTTAACTTTTTCAGCTTCTTTGGAGCCGAACACTTTTGTTTCTTCAGTAAAGTGTTTGGGTTTTAAAGCACTCACAGGAGTGAAGAAGTGCCCTTTCCCAGTGTTTTGATGGTAGTCTCACAGTACTAGGGGTATGGAATCCCTGAATGTCACAAATAGTATGTTTACAGATTCATTTTGAGCAGAGGAACTTAAGACCATTAGCAGAGTAAAGAAACTCCTGCCTCCACAGCCTATTGCCTCACACAGAGCAAGGATGCAAAAAGAGTCCTGTAGCATAGCAGGATAGTTTGAAAAACTTCATTGTGAGCTTTTGTCAGAAGATTAAGACTTAGAAACCTTCAGATTAATAACCCATTTTAATCCATGTCTGCAGCTTGATGTCTGCATTGGATTTGACCCTTAATGTTTACAGGGGCTTTGAAAAGCCTGTAATTCACTTCTGCCCTCTTATGTGTCAGCAACAATCTCAGATCTAGAATTATAAATTTACCTAAGGAGATACCTGATCTTTCAATTTTGTAAGAGCAAAAATAGCTACCTCAGACCTGAGCCTTTGCTTATCCAAATGTTTTTAAAGCAGAATAATTCAAATTTGCCAGCAGGACTACAGAAGTGATTATGCCCCTATACTCAGCACTGGTGGGGCCACACCTTGAATGATGTGTGCAGTTTTGAGCTCCTCAATACAAGAAAGACATGGAGGTACTGGAGCATGTCCAGAAAAGGTCAACAAAGCTGCTGAAGGGTGTAGAGAACAAATCTTATGAGAAGTGGCTGAGGGAACTGGGGTTATTTAGCCTGGAGGAGGTTCAGGGGAGATGTTAACACCCTCAACTGCCTGAAAGGAGGTTGTAGCGAGGTGGGGCTCAGTCTCTTCTTTCAAGTAACAAGTGATAAGACAAGAGAAAAGGCCTCAAGTTGTGCCAAGGCTGGTTTAGGTTGGATGTTTGGAAAAACTTCTTCACTGAAAAGGTTGTAAAGCAGTGGAGCAGGCAGCCCAGGGAGGTGATAGAGTCACTGACCCTGGATGTATTTAGAAGATGTATAGATGAGGTGCTGAGGGACAAGGCTTAGTGGTGGACATGGCAGTGCTGGGTTGATAGTTGGGCTTGATGATCTTGGAGGTCTTTTCCAAACAAAACAATTGTATGATTCTCTGAAATGCTAAAATCCTATCCAATTATGAATCTGTTTCAGTAAAAGGAGTATTTTATGCAATTCTATACGTTATTTAGATGGAGAAATACAGCAAACATCTGGAGATACTGGTTTCTGAGAGAACTCAGGATTTAATGCATGAAAAACAGAAGACTGATCGTCTGTTGTATAGTAAGTTATATGGGAAAAGTACTGGATATTCTTCTCAATAATGATTTGATTTTAGCTGTCTGGTTACAAACAGAAAAACTGATAGGTGATTACTTAATAGGTAACATGTAGTGAATAAATTATATTTTTTTCTTGCAAAGCTCAAAAGATATTTAGCTGTTTTTTATATATTCCCCCTAAAAATCAGTGCACACATCTGAGAGCTATGATTCCAGAACCAATAGTGCTCTACTATGATCTTGCCTGGCAATTCTTCTACATAGTAATACTGGAGAATTGCTTTTGGACTGAAGTTACTTTTGATGGCATCATATCTTCTGGAATTCCACAAGAAAAAATGGATAAAGGTACAGGTATAATGGATAGGATAGAGAAAGGAAAAAACTATGAAAATGCAAGATAGGAGAAATAAATAAGACTAAAGAAGAAGAGATAGTAAACAAACCTAACACAGGAAGAAAACCCTAGCGAAGAGCTGACAAAGAGGAAATTTAATAATATCCCAGGTCACACTATTAGAATCTAACCTTACTTTGACTTGGAGTGTAAAGGTAATGGTTTGTCTGAAATAGAAATTTGGGTCATCTGAAAAATTTGGACTTGTTAACAGTGAGATTTCTGGCGAATTCTCACATCACAGCAGATTTTGATGCTAAAGAGTGCTTTCCCCTTCAGAATTTTTCACATTTATGAGCACCCTTTTTATACCTTTAAAGAAACATGTTCTGTTTATTGTGTGCTTTTATCCATGTCAAAAGAGTGACAACATTCAACTTTCTACAACAGGTATGTTGCCGAAGCAAGTAGCAGATGATCTCAGGCAAGGAAAACATGCACAAGCTCAAAGTTACTTAAGTGCCACCATCTTTTTCAGGTAAACAAAAATGAAAGACAGGATTAAAACTGACTCCTACTGAAGAAACTCCTAGGCTTCTAGTGGAGGTGAAGCTCCTAACCAAGTACAGAATTTTTATTTGAACTGCCATTTATCATACCAGGTGGCAACTTTTGACTCTGCAAATTAGTGTCTTTCAAATTTTCACACCTCTCCATTCTTCATTATAATTATTTAAATAAAAAATGAGATTACTGTGGAGCTCTAACACACTGCAGCACCTCACTTTGTGTTACACACACATGAGTGAATGTTTCATAAGACTAAGTAAATGTCTAAGTAAAGGTTCTAGCATATTGGCTGTGTAAAGACCACTTGTCTATCCTTAAAATCCACATGGATCTACATTCTTTGACTTGTTATGTTTGCATGAAGCAAAATGTATATTGCATATTTTCACTTATGAATACATGGATTTTTTTTTCACTTGTACATAACACAAAATTGAAGACTACTTATTCTGTTGAAAGCTAAAGTCTAGCTATAAAAAAAGTTTCACTGCAATGGTAAGAAAAAGACTTAGGTCAGTCAGTCCTTTTAAATTGAAGGAGTCTGTTTTCAGTTTAAGTAAATGTTTGAAGACAAAACTATTCTGCAAGTTCTTTAGCGAGCAATATACTGCAAGAGAGGATGTTAAGGTAGTTCCACTGAGAAATTATTACTGTGTGTTTAGGATTGCCAGTCTTCAAAATAACATTAAGACAGTGGATGAGTATGCTCTTTTTGTTGTGTTTTAACAGTGACATTGTTGGCTTCACTGAGCTGTCCAGCAACAGCACACCTTACCAAGTGGTAGATCTCTTGAACAAGCTTTATACCACTTTTGATGAAATCATAGATAACTATGATGTCTATAAGGTGGAGACAATAGGAGATGCTTGTAAGTTCCCTGAGTTGTGGACACTGATGGGGTATGGGTATTTCTTCAGGATAGAAACTGTTTTGATGACAAGAAAGAGAAGAGGGAGGAGATTTTGAAAGCTTATTACCACTGAGAAGACCACAAGAAACAACTAGGGGAAAAGTCCTAGCAGAGCCCTAGCAAACTTCAGGAAAAATTTCCTGCATGTTTTTTGTCATTTCTAGAATTGATGAATGTTGCAGACAGGACAACTGAGTTGAGAAAACTAGTGCTTCTGTTTATTTGGTTCCTATAACCTGTAAAGTCTAATTTTAAACCCTGGCAACAGATTAATCCCAGCTGGCAACTTCTGTTTCACAGGAACACAAGTGAAAGATTCACCTTCTACATGGGAGCATAGATGCCATTCCATAAGCTTTATTAACTCTGTCTTTTTTGCAAGGACCATAACAACCTTTTCTCTCTCAATAAGCTGTAGGGGCTTGGATGCCTCTGATTTTTGGATTTTTTTTAGGAAAATGGCCTTCTATTTTCTACTATGGGAATCTGCTGGGGATTTACTACCATTAAAACTGAGTTTCCTCAAAAACCTAGCAGAATCTAGCAGGATTTTCAGATCAGACAGACAGGAAATGCTGTAAGAGATGGTTAAGCATATTCTGGAGGATAAAATTCCTGAGGAAAAGAACCTGTGTGATCTTGAAGAGACATGTCTCTTGTCCTACATAGTTAGTCAGTGCAGGAAGCATATGACAATGCCTAGTGGAAATATTGTCTCTATAATCTACCCAAAGACAAAAGATATTGAACAACCACTTTTCCACTACATGTTACACTTCAAGCATCCTCAATGGAAGAAGGGAGGAAGGAAGGGTAGAAGGGAATAAATCATATAGAAAAGTATGAAGGAAGTCCAACATTTTCCAGAGCTAGGGTAATTACGTACACAGACTTGCATTAGCATTTATTTGTTTATGGATTTCTCTGGTCAGCAGGCATAACTGTGCTATGGGATATGAATGAATAGGGCTTTTTTTTCTAACTTAGGCAATATCCTTTGGTAAATCTGTGTGTAATGTCAAATGTTAACACAGTTTTATTGTTGTGTTAAGACATGGTGGTGTCAGGAGTACCCAAAAAGAATGGAATCCTTCATGCTGGTGAGATTGCAAGCATGGCTTTAGACCTTCTGGATGTCTGCAAGACTTTTAAGATCCCCCACAAGCCCAATACCCTCCTAAAGATAAGAGCAGGAATCCACTCAGGTATGTTGAGAGGGCTGCAAAAGTCTCTTGCTCTGCTTTAACAAATGTTTCTGTAGTGGGATTTCCTCTTCATGACAAATGAAGTTAATTTCTCAACATGGGATGGAACACCTCATAAAGGTCATCCCAACAGAATAAATTATTGGATACCTGAAATATTTGGAGCACAATGTGTAATGCAACATTGGAAACACCACATGGCCCTACTGCCTTTGCTGATGTGACTGAGGACTGTTATTCTGTTTGTTACCCATCCTTTTCAGCTGTTCTCTTCTTGAAACAGTGAGTTGCTTTTTGATCTAGCTCTCTGATTTAAGCTTGTCAGTGATTCCCTCTCCCTATTCATACACAGCCATAGTTGGACATGCGCTGTGCAGCCCAGCACCTGCAAATTAAGTGACTTATGTTGTCTCAGAAAGAGATCATATCTTCTATATTTTAAATATTCTGAGTCCAACATACATGAATAAAAATGCTCATTTTCTGCCTTCAGATTACCTCCCCTTCCTGCTTTTCCATGTGACCACTGTGTGTTGCATGCAGAACTCCTATTGGAAGCATTCCCTTCACCACTCCTCAAAGTATTCAGTTGTGGTGTTGAGACATGATTGTGCAGGTGCCTTAATTCATGCACGCTGCCTCAATCCTATCTTCACTTCCCCCACTGTTCTCCTTCGAGGTCTTTTTGCAATTCCCTCCATGGCTCTGGGTGCCATCTGTAAGCCAGATGTATAACCTGTGTAAGACAGTACTGAGACTGAGGCTTCATCTTGTTAATGAAGGAGATACAAGGTAATGTAGGAAGCAGCCCTGAGGCAGTATGACTGATTATGTGATTTAAACCTACAAAATATCATGCTCTCTTTTCTTTAACAGGGGCGGTTGTAGCCGGAGTTGTTGGGACTAAAATGCCACGGTATTGTTTATTTGGAGATACTGTGAACACAGCTTCCAGGATGGAATCTACCAGTGAAGGTAACAAAGAACGAACTGCAGAAGTGGTTTTGACTATACCTTAATGAGTTATGAAAAAACATTATGCTGAGTTCTGAATCCTGTCCTGTTTAAATGACTGCAAATCCTATAAGGAGGATGTTGACTTCTGCGTCCTATCTGCCGATGCGTGAATTATACCAGTGATACTCTCTACAATCTTTGTAACAAGATCCTCTCATCCCTCAAGTTGCAGAGAGGGGTTTTCATGGCTTTAAAGTTCACAAATGAAAAAAAAAAAAACAAAAGTGTAAGAGTCACCTAAAATGAGAGGTGGATATGTTCACTGTTTCTGTTCCTTCCTGGCACCCAGCTGAATTTATAGTAAAAATGTTTTCATGATCAATTTTCTCTGACAATTTCCTCTGATGGAGTACCCAAGTGATGATAGGACACCATGGGAGCTATCCCTGTCTTTAACTGGTACAGAAGATTGTCTATGTGTCCTCCAGCAATGAGAATAGGCAGAAATCTCTAAATATTAAATCATGAAGATTGTTTTACTTTTGCTTATTTCCAGAAGATAACAGCACTTCATGTTTAGTTAGCAAGTTTTATCTTTAGCTAGTATGAATATATGAACCTCAACTTCTTAAACATTTTAGCCTGGTCTACAAGTACTGGGGGAAAGGGAGGCGGGGCAGGGGGGAAGCAAGAAGAAATAAAATGAGGTAGTGATTCTTGGCTTAGATTTTTTTCACTCATGAAGTGGAGCTGAATAGTTTTATGGCTCACATTGCAATGCTTCATAAATGGATCTGAATTAGACAAAAACCAAACTGTTTTCAAGTTTAATTTCAAGTGACGACTTCAACGTCTATCATGACGGCAGAGGAGTAGTCCTACATGATGGCTTTGAAGGTTTGGCCTGAGGATTTGAGAATCAGCCAGGGTTCATTCCCTGTCACCATTTAAAATATTTTTCTGAAGCAAATGCTAGCCTGAGTGCAGCACATAAGCTTCATTTCCTTCTGTCAGTCTCCCAAGTAGCTCCTTTCTTTCTTCTCCTCCTCCTTTCAGGTTCCTTGTATTGTCTTATCTGAACTGCTTTAAAACTAATACCTTCAAAATCTGCTTTCATCATGCTTCATATTTCATCTTTTGTTCTGTACATCTGTCTATTTCTTATATGGCTCATCAGCACTATAAACTTAAGTATAAAGAGAGAAGTTCTTAACTTTTAAGCCTTTCTTTTATCACCTGCTTTCTCTGGCCATAGATCCAAGGATCTCAAATTACTTTAACATGTTTTAAGCCTAAGATGATCACTTTAAAATAGATTGATTACTTAATTACTAGCAATGTAAATTAAAATTGCTATCAGCTGAAATCTGAGTGATAGTGTCTTCCTGTTCCCAAGCAGGGTGACCAGCTGAAATATCACATATCTAATACAAATAATATTTCAGAGATATGTATCTGGCTATGTTGAAACATGTATTTCCGGGTCTACAGGGAGCATTTTGAAACTTTCAACTAAAAAAAAAAAATTAAACATCAATAGAAGTGGATATTACAAAACTGCCATTTTCTAATATAAGAAAAATAAGTAAGACAATCTTAACCAGTCCTGCAATCATCTGGGACCTTTTTCAAGCAAAGAACCATAATGATTTACTCTCTATCACAGAATGTTAAAGGAAAAAAAAGGACAAGATACTGGAACTTATGTGTGAACATTTTAAATAAGAGGGGAATAACAGCAGATACATGAAAAAAGCAAAGAGGTGTTCATAAATGAGTCTTGAAGTCTTTGGCACATAGAGAGGGACGGGTCTGTTGTAGATGTTTAAATGGTTATGATAACATGACAGTTGTCTGTCTTTCCAGCTCTTAAAATACAGTGCAGCTCAAGTGCATACCAGCTGTTGGAGCAGATTGGAGAGTATGTGTTAGTGTGCCGTGGGAATTTACAAGTCAAGGTGTGTATGCAACATTTATACTCAGCTCTTCTGAGAGGAGAGTGTGAAAGTACTCTGGAGTCCCTGAATTTTAACTCATGCTGTCCTCTTTGTGTTAGAGTCCTTGGGGTAGATTCAGTCCTGTCCCTGAAGAAAGCAGGCTTAAGTTTTAAACCAGGACCAATTCCATGGGCTTACTCATGAGACAAACCTGATAATACAGAGATGAAGGACTTAGCCAGACTTGGAAGTACTTTGTGACATGTCACTGACATAGCCACTTGAAATCTAAAAAGGTCATTCAGAGACAGCATAAATCACCATATAAGAGGACTAACATACTTCTGGACCCACATTGGAGTGGGACTTCAAATAATTGTTTTAATGGATAGTGCTGCCACTATCTTTTAAGGAAAAGTTTTATGCCTCAGTTTTCCTGTGTGTAAAATGGCTGATGGGCACATCAGTCTCCTTTTGGGACTTGCTTTGAGTTCTAGTAAGAAGGTTATTACACAAATGACAGGTAGTATTATAACCCCATGACTAATTTTCTTCCTTAGGGGAAAGGAGACATGGTAACATACTGGCTTGAAGGTAAGAAAACCTCTGCCACCCCGAAGGCTATCACCAGTGCTTCTGTGACTCTTCAAGACCCCAACAGAGCATTTAATTTGATACCAGGTGTACTTCCCAATGAAAGTCTTTCAAGTCCATCTTACTAGCCACTCACTAACTCCAGCATCCATCCTGCTTTCAGTCTGTTATGTCATCCTACTGAATTAGAAAGTAAAATAAGAGACAGTGTGCCACGTTGGCCTTGTGGATGTATTAGGTCAGACTTTGTTCACAGGAATCTCTCTCCCACCAGTGGCAGGAAAAATACCAAAAAGCAAAAAAACATCCTGAGGAATGATACATGAGACTGGCCTACCAGCTGCTAGGACATGAGGTGGCGCCCAGTGCTACTTGTTGATCATCTTTTTCTGGGCTTCCCCCTGCTAGCAGCCTCCATGTTTCAAATGGCTGGACATTCCAAACTGTAAGCCTTTCCCACAGGAAAGAAGGAGACAGTGTAGTGTTGCTATGTAGTGGTATGATAAACCTTGTGGGAACAATTGGGTTTGTGCTGTGAAAGGGAAAAAATGAGATGTGTATTGTTAGAAAGCAAGGCCCATTGAAAAAGAATGATGAAGCAGAACAATTATACTGGATACAAACTGAAATAAGAATTTGTGCTTCTGCTTCTGTTTCATCCCCATTGCCTGGAGTATAGAAAGAAGAATTAAAAAGAAAGTCTGTGGTATTTCCATAAAGTCAACACTTAGTGACACCTGCCATCTAGGTAGAAGGATCTGAAAACGCTGAGAGAGAAATGAAAGATGTTGCATGCTGCTGTTAAACAGAAAAAAGTCCATTTAGCACATTTGCCATTGTCTTTGGGAACTCTGGGATTTCTTCTGAGAAACTGCTCTTAACATTAGCTTATATTATGGAATTGCTTTGATTAAAGTGGTGGTGAACCTACTACTGCATGCTATCTGTCTGACTGTGAAATCAGTCAGCTGTCTGAGTCACTGTGTAATTTAGGACACAGTTTAGAAAAGGTCATTTCCTGAGCAAGAATTTCCTGTAAAAAGAGACCCATCACTACAAGTGGAGTAATTAGCTGATGAGCACGATTCTGTAAGCACTGCTGGTGTTGACTTTCTTTAAAGACAAAGCACATGTACAGTGGACCCTGTTTATAGTTTTTAGATTTATTTATGGCAATAAATTACCTTCCAGGGCTAATCTAAGTTGAAGACTTTAGCCAGTCCCAGCTGGACTGATCAACACAGTCTAATGGAATTAGATATGTGAAATACAGGAAGAATACCAACTGTCCCAGCAGTTCCATCATAATGTCAACTGGACTGGCCAAAGCTAACTAGGAGGAGGTGAGAAGGAACAACTACAAGTGACATTGCATCATTTACTCCTTTTTCTACTCCCTTTCCTTCTAGTCTGTCTCCAGCCCTAGGTTCAGGTACAAAACCACACATGTAGATGCAGCTATTCTCGTATAAATTTGTGTAGCTTAAACAAGGATCTGACTAGTTATCCATGTTCCCATGCAGCTAGCATACTTTAAATGCTGAGTATGTACTGTGTGATAGTGATAGGGGAATCACACTACAGTTCTTCAGCTTATGTGGGAAGTAAATGTCACAGTAACATTAGATTTTTCAGAGATCCCAATAGAGGTAGAAAGCTAAATCCTTCTGAGTTATGGAAGACTTATTTGAAATCAGGAAAAAAAAATAAAACATTCTGAGTGAAATTCTGTCTCAAACATCTGTGGGAATATTTACCCTTAAATGGGACCAGAACCTCAGCAAGTGACGTATACATAGCTTACTTTGTCACATGAGATCCCAGCATAATGTCCAGACAGATTTTTAGAAACTAAAAATCTTAATTGGTTTCACGTTTGTTTTTTTTTCCTAAACTGAAAAGATTCCTTTCTTTATTTTTGAATTTCATGTTAACACATGGTATGGTACAGTTACCTTATTTGTAATCTTAGCAAAAGAAACCTTTCCATTATCCAGAACCCAAAGATGTCTCATACAATCATTTCTTTTGTCCACATGCTACTAGATATTATGAAGCTCTGCTCTATTATAGTGCTGCATGATGTATAATATAGTTTTTGTTATTATTTTAATGAGTTCACATTTTTTACATCTTTATTAGATTAGATTACAGGGTCTTTTATCAAATGTGAATGTGAAAGCATGTGCTTTGGTGTATGTTCATCTGTACCACTACATCAGTTTTAACTCCTTTGCTTTATTTCAGTGTTGGTTTTAGAATTAAAAACTTTAAAATGAGTGTCTTCTGAATTTCGAGTCTTCTAAATAGAAATGTGTGATGAGTCACCACCAGCAAGCTTGCTTGACTGACAGCCTTCACCACTAACGTTCATTGGGTAGTATTCTAATTCTGCTGAAGATAGCAGAGAGGCTCTTGCTGCCTTCAGGACGATTAGTCTGGTGATTATCTACAAAAGAGTTACAGCTTGAAGAACACCAGTGTCAGCCTACCTCTCTGTTTTGTTGTTAATTCTTGATCCTCTCCTTGAACAGAAGAGCTTCAGAATGAGAACTAGATTGTTTTCTGAGGACCATAGAATCCGTGATATCTCTTCTGAGACTTCAAGCAATAGTCTTTGTTAATGCCAGTTTGTCAGATGACTGTGCTATGACTAGTCCTACTCCAGAGGACGGAAGTACAGAGTAATGAACATCCTAGATGCAAACAGAAGTCATCTGACAAGTATTTAAGATTTATATCAGGCATTTTGACAGACGTAGTCCGTGGCTAGAGCCATATTTCATTGTCAACTACTGAAGCAACAGGCACGTTTTGGGAACATGGGCATATTACATAGATTTTGGTTACAAAGATTTTTAATAGAGGTTAGATACAACAAAGCAATCATTAGAGACTTCATGGCATAGCATTTCAGCAAAGGTGACTGGAGTGTAAAGCCTGTGAGATGTGTCTTGCCTTTACCTCCTGAGGATGGCATAGCTGAAGAGACCTTTTTTTTCTATATTGCTGTGGCCACACAACCATAAATACTTATATATCTATAGATATATATACATACATTATATAGAAACCAGTACATATTCTTATATATGTAAAACGTCTGGCCATAAATATATCTGCATAGTGAGAAGTTAGTGCAAATCAACGCCCAGTATAACATGAAATAATTTACAATTATTGTGTCAGCTTTGAACTCTGCAAGCATCAGTTTTTGAACCCACCACAGGAATGCAGAGTAGTGTTCCACACAGAACTTCATATATAAGGGCAGGTGGTCTTTAGAACCCCTCCAAGCCAAAGTGCTGTCCCATTTCATGACTCTGTATCCCTGTATGGGGTGGCACTTGTGACTGGTGATACTGCAAATTCAGATCTCCACACAGTCTTGTTATAGCACCTGGTATCTCTCACTGCCCAGGAAATGTGGCAAGGAAGCTTGTTGTGGCTAACACTGTAGCTGCTGACTAAAGTCCTGATGACCTTGGCAATGCAGGAAAGAATTTTCTGCGTGGTGCTCTACGAAATTCTGCGAGATGCTTTAAATACATAACAATCATAATAAAAAATGTTGAGTTAGTCATCCAATCTAGCACATATTCTTTTAAAAAATGGCACTCCATGCAGATAAACATGTGGTATATTCCTCCTTTCCAGGAGATTATACCCTAACAGAAAATAGGAAATAAATGGTAATAGTCATAGAATCATAGAATGGTTTGGAATAAGAGGGACTTTAAAGATCATCTAGTTCTAACCACCCTGCCATGGGCAGGGACACCTCCCAATACACCAAGTTGTATAAGGCCCCATCCAACCTGGCCTTGAACACATCCAGTGATGAGGTATCCATAATTTCCCTGGGAAACCTGTTCTAGTATCTCACCACCCTCATAATGAAGAACTTCTTCCTTACATCTAATCTAAATCTACCCTCTTCCAGTTTAAAACCATTACCCCCTCTCCTTTCTCTACAAGCCCTTGTAAAAAAATCCTTCTCCAGCTTTCTAGTGGGCTCCCTTCAGATACTGGAAGGCTGCAGTAAGGACTCACTGGAGCTTTCTCTTCTCCAGGCTGAATATCCTCAACTATCTCAGCATGTCTTCATAGGAGAAGTGTTGCAAGGCCCTGATTGTCTTTGTGGCCATCCTCTGAACCTACTCCAACAGGTCCATGTCCTTCTCAAGCTGGGGGTCCCAGAGCTGGATGCAGTACTCCAGTTGAGGTCTCCCAGAGCAGAGTTGAGGGGCAGAATCACTTCTGTCAACCTGCTGTACATGCTTCTTTTGATGCAGCCCAGGATACAGTTGGTCTTCTGGGCTGTAAGAGTGTACTACTGGGTCACGTCGAGCTTCTCATCAACCAACACCCCCACATCCTTCTCCTCAGGGGTGCTCCAAATCCATATTTGTGCTTTGGATTGCCCTGACCTATGTGCTGGACCCTGCATTTGGCCTTGTTGAACTTCATGAGGTTGGCACGGTCCCACCTCTCAAGACTATCAAGGTCCCTCTGGATGGCCTCCCTTCCCTCCAGCATGTTGACTGCACCACACAGCTCGGTGTTGTTGGCAAGCTTGCTGAGGGGGCACTGAGTGCCACTGTCTGTGGCATGTGCTAATAAAGCTGGAGAACTGAAGGCGATACATACTTTACAGATTGCTTCAGTTCTTCACTCAGTGACCATTCATGGTCTGTGGTCATGCAAAATAATGCAAAGGACACTGATTCTGTATTCCTCATGTGGCAATTTCATGGAAAGATTGTGCATTATTGTTTATTGCAGCTCCATTTACACACAGGTGAGGATGCAGGTGGGTGTATTAAATAAATCACACAATGCAAAAACTGACTTATGAAAGTCTTTAATTACATTGATAAACCTTCACTATATTATTTCAGTTTGAGTGTTGATGAATAGACTGAATAATCACAATAATTTTAAAAATCCCAGGAAGTAAAAAAAAAAAGCTGTTAATGCATTTCCAGTTGTAAAACTTCCTAGATCTTATTCAAACCATTGGCAACAGAAAAAGACTGTGTTTTGTCACTGAAAAGTTAGTTTTTATCCCCTAGATTAGGTATCAAACATCTTTTATTTAGCTTGTTACCAATATGTGCAGATGGTC